TGGAGGAGGAGGAGAGGAGGAGGAGGAGAGGAGGAGGAGAGGAGGAGGAGAGGAGGAAGAGAGGAGGAGGAGAGGAGGAGGGGAGGAGGAGGAGAGGAGGAGGAGAGGAGGAGGAGAGTAGGAGGAGAGGAGGAGAGTCAGAAGAGGGCAGAGGAGGAAGGGAGAGATCTACCCTCGTCCTCCGGCTGGTGGTTGGAGACGCATATGAGCCCATCCTCTCCTCCGCTCACGGTGATGGAAGGCAGGGTTGGGTGACAGCGGACCTGAAGGCAAGCTCGTAAGAAGAGAAGAGAACGAGGGCCAGGAGACCAAGGAGGGGACTGGGCAGGGAACAAGGGCGAGAACAAGAACAAGAACAAGGGCAAGTGTCAGGACGAGGACGAGGACGAGGACGAGGACGAGGGCCAGAAGAACAGGAGGAATGTGTCGCCCCGCGCACCTGCGTTACATCCTCGGTGTGAACATCCGAGTAGTTGCGGAAGAGCTTCTGAGTCTGCGAGGAGGGATCAACGTGAGAGATCATGAGCAGCTGAGCCGACGCCTCACCCTCATATCGTAGACCCTCACAAGTCGCCCGCAGCCTGTCGACATCATCGTTTCGTCGCTGTTGAGATGGGCAGACCAGAAGGGTTTACCCCCCGAGCTGGAAGGAAGTCAAGGATGGAAGGAAGTCAAAGATGGAAGGAAAGCCAAGGAGGAGGATATCGAGGAGGCGGGGAGAGAAGAGGACGACGATGAATGAGAGGGAGAGGACGAGGACGAGGACGAGGAACAGGGAGAGGAGGAGGAGGAGGAGGAGGATCAGGAGGAGGAGGAGGAGGACGAGGAACAGGGAGAGGAGGAGGTGGAGGAGGAGGTTGAGAAGGAGGATGGGGGGAAGTGCACCTGATGCTGCTGACCGGAGCATGAGGACTGCGCATGTCCCACACTTTGACAGTCCCGTCAGAGGAGGAGCTGTAAAGTAGGTGCGGGGAGAGAAGGGAGAAGTGTATGTCGTTGACTGCAGCAGCATGTCCTCCCAGCTACTCTCAAGCAATCAGATAAGAAAGAGTTGTTCTCGCATCACCTGGATGGAGCAGGAGAGCGTCTGCTCGTCGTAGACCTGCTCTTGCTCGTTGTCAGCTCGTCACGTGCCACATCGGGCAAAGTTTGCCTTGATGACGTGACCCGGTCCGCATGCTGAGACAGCCTATGGAAAGGTCGATCATGCTCGTCACAACATGGCCACGTTGCTCACACACCAGCAATCCCTGTGTGTTGTTGCAGACGTCGAAAACGTAGGGATTCTTGTCAAAGTCTTTTGCAGCTGGGAATGTGTGGATCACACTCTTCGACAACCTGCCAACCTCTTCAGCACCGACATCTGTAGGTCGTGCAGGCCTTACCGGAATGCCATGGGTATTCAACACAGAGATGCTACCGAAGCAACATCCTCGAGCACCTTCTCTTCCTGAAAGGAGACAGATTGTAACTGGAAACAGCCTGGACGAGATTTACAAGAGGGCGATGGTGGGATAATATACCACCCACAAACACCACTATTACGCAATTCCTTCTATAAACCCCTCGTGATTGTCAACTAAGACTACCAGAGAACAGAGGAAACGTCTCTTCTTGTAACTTTCCGTCTGTACATAAGAACTCTGCATCCTTCCCGCCGCCATCGCGTCGCACCCTCCCCATCGTCTTCCCTGCACAGCACGTGCCATTGCAGGAATCCGTTTACATGGAACTTTCCGTCCTGGGCAAGGCGGGGACTGAGGCGGGGATGAGGGTTTTGATAGTGGGTGCGAGGTGGGATGAGGTGTAAAGTCAGGTGGGGGAAGAGGGCTCAAAGCATGCTCAGGAGACGCAATGGTGGGAGAGCGAAGGGAGGGGAAGAGGCGATAGCTGAGGCGAGGGGAGGAGGAGGAGTCAGACGAGTAGGGAGAGGACAAAGTGGAGCTGCTACGGCAATGGTGAGCATGTGAGAACTGGAAGGCATCCATGAGGAGAGCAGAAGATCTGCCATATCTCCGAAGCGCTGGCCCCCTACTGGTTTACCTGCTGCTGACCTGCGGCAGCGGGGAGGAGAGTTCGACATCCTGGGACAGCACATGCAGGAAGGCGCCTTCTAGTACACTGTGTGCTGGTGTCTTGTGCAATGCAGGGAGTCGGAAGAGCCAATCGCTCCCTGCAAAATGCTCGCGGAGACGAAGGGTTTTGTTGCTCAGGGGGGGGTCGAGCGACGAGTCAAGCGAGGTAGACGAGTTGGGGTATGCGGATGATGAAGTTGTCGACGGCGAATCAGAGTGGGAGACAGTCTCGAACCAATCAGAGTCAATCATGGTGATGATCCTCCTCCACACGTCGCCATGACACTGACCAACTGTTTTTCCAGGGGTGGTACGACAAGGATGTGTGGGACTCGAAACTTTGGAGGATAAAGTCGTCAAAGACACGTCCGAAGAAGAAGAAGGAGAAGAAGAAAGCAGAGGTCAAACAAAATACAGTCCCCGCGAATAACGAGAAGGAATTCTCCAACAAAGAATGGAAGGACATGGGGAAAGCATCCAGTTTTGATTTTAAGAGTAAAAAGGTGGAGGATGCCAAGTTTGCGCAGAAGTAATCATTGCGGATTTTATTTGCGTCTATGAACTTTTTTTCTTTGCAGATTCAAGGAGATGATTGATGATGTCGAAGACGAGGACGATTATGACGACGACGAGGTAGCTGAACATCGTAATGTCACCGGTTAGAGCTTGTGAAACTTGACTACATGATCTTGACTTTGACTTAAGCTGTTCAATCTTCAAAGAAGGACAAGAAAGGGATGGGAGAAAAGAAAGTGATGTCAAAGAAGAAGCAAAAGGAAGATAAGGAGAAAGAGAAGAGAAAGCAAGAAAGGTTGAAGTCAGAAGCATTTCGACAATTGTTCGATCATTGGCACGCGTCAGCGGAGAAGTGCATGAATGATTCAAAGATCAAGGAGTTCGAAATCCGTAATCTCACCTTATCTTGTCATGTTCTATCTTTTGTGTTTATTCTCGCTACATGATATGTCAGATCTCACGGTCACCTGGTTTCTGCTTGTAGGTGATGCCATCACGCACTACAAGACTGAAACGCAAGACTACTACGTTTGGGACATGGGGAAGATGAACCAGATAGACAAGCTGATGGAGAATGTTTCTGTATCGGATGAATCAGACTGGTGAGACTTCTGACCTCAACTCCAGCTCTTCTTTGAAATGCATGCAGGTTGAACATCACCGACAAATGGAAGACATCTGAGGCCTATCAAGCCTATAGGAGACTTCATCCAGAATCCGAGCAGTATGAGAGGCCAGAGTCAGAATTTGTAATGATTGGCCGTGTGATATTCCTGTCCTGATACATTTGTCATGCAACGTTTGATCAGAATGAGTCAGAGGATAATGCCTACGCAGAGCAGTACCTTGCCGATATGATGGAGAAAGTTGACGCGGTAAGGAACATGATGAATTATTAAGCTGAGAAACCGACAACTTCTGCAACAGTACAACAAAAAGAAGAAGGCAGAAGCGTTAAACCAGACAAAGATAGAAAAAGAGAGGCAAGTGAATCGAAGCAAGACTGAGCTCATGCCGTTGACAAAGGTGTGTCTTCCTCCCTCTATGACCCCATTCTGACTGGATATGCTCAGGATGCCACGGAGAAGCCGAAAGGCTTTGGGGGCATAGGCGTTGTCTTTGAGCTTCGGCAGACTATCTTACGCCAAAAGTCGATTACAAAAACAAGGGAAAAATCAGGAGAGATCTACGAGGATAGCAAGGAATATCTGCCGGTGGTCGATCAAATTCTTCCTGATAGTCCAGCACGAAAAATTGGGAAGGTGCATACTGGATGTTCTGATTGGCAAGAACCTTCGGTTGATTTTGATGCCTAGATCAAGCCAGGGGACATTTTGCTGTCCGTTGGAGATAAGAGCACGAAGGGGATGGAAGTTCATGTAAGTATGGAGGAAGAGGGATGGAGAGAAGAGGGATGGAGAGAAGAGGGTTTGGAAGAGCGAAAAAAAGAAGGAGAACGGGAAGGAGAAGACGAGGAAGGGATGATTTTGGTCTTCAACGACTTCCTCCTATTCTTTTGTTCATCTTCTGTGCCTCACATTTGCCACGTCTTCTCTATGTGCAGCAATTGGCTCCATACATCCTCGGCCCGGTCGGGAGCTCAGTGTCGTTGAAGTTTAGAAGGTAAGGATTCTGCGCGTAGCGCTGCCCATGTCTTTGCCGCTCAACCTGTTGTAGGGGAATGGATGTGTTTGTTGTCTCCCTTCGACGGCAGGCAGTGGGAGGAAACGTGTTGAAACAACTTCCTTCCGTCGTCGAACACGATCTCGCCGCAAAAGAGGGATCTGCAGCCCAGCAGGCTTCACGCACCTTGAATACTTCATCGTGGAACGTCCTCATCAAGAAACCGAAACGCAAGAAGACAAAGGCAGCTGCCATCACAAGAGGTTGAGAGGACTTCTCTTCTCTCCTCCGTGACTTGTGCTGAATCAGGGAAGCCGAGCACGCCTCAGGAGCTACAGCGTGCTGCAGTCGTGTGCAGGGCCTGCGACGGTTTCACGACCGCCCATCCGACTGTCGACCATGCCCTCGGTCGATGTGAAGGGGTCGACGATTTCATCACCGTGATCCGCAACATCTCCACCCTCAACGGTCCTCAAACGCCCTTCTCGCTGTTACGGTCCGTAACGTTGTCTGTTCTCAGATTCCTCCCTGCTCCCCGTAGGTTGCATAACGATCCAGACACGGTCGGACCTGCAGGTCTGTGAGCTCCTTCCCTCGCATCCTCGTGACGCCTCAGAACCGCAGGGGAGCGTGTGGCTGGAATCAACGCACAAAAGCGCGATACTGTCCTGCAAGGACGAAGAGTCCGATATCTCTCTGGTGGGACTGAGCTTCCGGCACTCCTTCATTGGGCCAGAGTACGTCCGCGACTCCTTGCCCTTCGTCTGGACGAGCTGCCTCAAGGCAGAACAAGGGAAGTTGACCATATCTCGATGCACCGTCCTCTGTGAGGGCGGGGTAGGACTGTTCGTTGACTTCCGCTCCGACGTCGAATGCTTTTCCTCCTCCTTCAGCCACAACGGGGGGGACGGAGTGGTCTGCGTCAACGGTGGTCAGGTGGAGGCCTCGATGACCTTGATAGCAGTTGAGACGTCTTGACAGGTCAAACTGGAAGACTGTGACCTTGGCTTCAACGGCAAGAGCGGCCTGTACTGCACGGACCCAGTGTCGCTCATCAGGGCGACCTCCTGCAGGATCCGGGGCAACGAGTTTCAGGGCGCCTGCGTGACCAGAGGCGGGTACCTGCACCTCATCAACTGCTGGCTAGAGGAGAACAAGGAGTCGGCGGTGAGCTCCTTCAACTCCGGGTCCAGCTTCGACCTCATCAACTCCGACCTCGTTGGCAACGCGCATGGCGTCCATGTGGAGGACGGCGGGTGCGGGATCTGTGTGCGGTGCAGGGTCGTGGGGAACAAGGAGTTCGGCGCTATAGCAGTCGGCGATGGCACTGGGCTGGTCCTCCGGTTCTGTCAGGTAGGCCTGCTCTTGCCCTGCTGGGAGCTCTCGACTGAAGATGCTCCTCCTGCGCACCAGGTTGAAGGGAACTACATCGGGGTTGCCACTGAGGAGAAAGCAACCATCGCCTTGATGGAGACGAGAGTTGACAAGAACACTCTGACAGAAGCGAGCAACCTGAAGAACGAGGGAGTGATCTCTGGACTTCAGGACCTCAACCTGCGGAGCAAGCGGGAGGAGGAGCTGTTCGAGTTGGAGCCGGAGATCGATCAGTATTAGTCGGAGCTAAGAGGCTCGTTGATATCAAGTTGTCTATTTCGATACTGTCCTTGTAAGCTGCCGTGGAAAATCCAATGTGGGGGTAGGGGGTTCATTTCGGTATGACTGCGTGAGGTAGGGTTAGACGAGAAATAGATCAAGTAGGGGTGCATTGAAACACACTACATGGGGTGGTGTTGAAAGGGGGTAGGGTACTAAACAGGGCTAGGAACAAGTTGGGGTGGTGGGGTTCTTCATAAAGGCAAAAAATGGCCTAAGGATGGAGGAAGGAAACGACAAGACGAGAGGAAAGGAGAGAAGGATCAAGGAAGGGCAGGCCCGAGGGATAGAACAGACCCAAGAGTATGGTGCATGTTCAAGGCTAGGAGGGATGTGAATACACGGAGATATTTGTGTTTAGTCCTTGTTTGTCCTGAGGCGACCATAGTGAAACTGGAACTAGTTATGAACGCAAGGAGGATTTCTTTCTCTGAGACAGAACTCATGGAAAGTATCCTTTTCTTCTCTTGAGACAGTCAGACAGAATATGACAAAGAGGAGACTGACAGGGATGCGAGTTGATTTTGAAAAAGCGAGGCCATGTTGTTCGTCTTGAAATCATACCAGAATTTGACTCTGTTTGACCGTCTATCCGAAGGATGTTGAAAGTTAGAGACGGGGCGGTTCATATCTGGACTTGTACTGAATCTCTGAGCAGATGTTCGCTATTCTTCGTCAATACGTTGAAGTTCGCCAGAACTTCACCATGCTCACTCTCGATGCCAACGGCAACGACGTCGATGCCCTCCTCAAGGATGTCAACACCATCAACACCTGGGCGGAGCCGCACAACGCAAACGGCATCACCCCCAACACCGTCATCGACTCCAACGATGAGCCTCCCGGCAACAACCAGCAGCGCATGGCAGTGCGCGGATACTAGAGCTGGTGGAGCATGCCAGACCGACAGTGTTTGTCATTGAATGAATGATGATAGTGTCGGCCACTCTACTGACTTGTGATACATCATACATAGTGATGGGGATGTGACGACACGTGCAATGCTATAGCAATGGCACCTTTATGACGAGCAAGTGACACTGCAAGTGACAAAGGAAATTAAATCGAAGATACGCAACATCCACAGCGCTTGATTTTGCCTTCTGAAAACACGAGTAGTTGTTCTTTTGGAGAAGTGTCCTACCCACTCGCACCGCACAGATTGTTATCCTTCGCTGTGCTTTGCATTCGCTCACCGCACCATTTATCGATGTTGCTCGTACATGTCGAGGCAAAACTTGCCCGTCCTTGTTTCCTGCATCTCGACGCTGAGATAGGAACAACGAAAGCTTGCAAACGTACCCGGAATTCCTTGATGCTGGCGCTGTACTCCGGATCCTGTGCTTATCATTCAAGAGAGCAATACGATAGTAACATTGACACCTTCTTGATCATCCCGTCGAAGAAATCCGAGTACATTCCTCCGCAGAACTTAGGAGGGTTGACGCAGGGAGCAGTCTGCACGAATATGAGCCAACGAGGAGAGTCCAGGGGCCGAGAGCTCAAGACAAACCAGAGCCGCCAAGGCGAAGTCAGCGATGCCAGGCTGATCTGATCCCTTGCCATCACCAAGGTACTTCTTTCCTCCAGCCTTGTCGAAATAACTATCCAGGGTGCTGACTGCCAACAAGAAAATATGAGCGGCGATGGCTCTGCGATGACGTTGAAAGAACTCACCGGACGCTTTCATCTTTGCGATGAGCTCCTTGAGAGCTTCAGGATCGTCCGGTCGGACTGATCGGAAATGATTCCTGGATAATTGGACGGCAACGGGAGAAACCTCTCAGTCAGAGTACAGAGACGACCATTCCCGTCGCACCTCAGTATGCTGTCGTAGAAGAGGAAAAACTTGATTTGTAACCACCACCCTCCGACAGACGTGATGAGATCTTTCCAGGTCTGAGAATTCCCTTTCTTCAACAGGAACGAGTAGGCGAACGCTCGTGTCTGAGGACCCCACTGCTGGTTCAAGAACTCCTTCAACTCCGGGTCAATACCCCCCATACCTGACAGCCTCTGCGCAATAGTCCAGCTGTCGTTAAGCACCTCTCCTTCGGGGAGAACAACCAAAGGGACGAGTGTCAAGTTCTCCTTCTCATCACCATCCGAACCCTTCGCTGCCTTCTGCTTGTCCGCCAGCCGAACCGACAACGTGGGAAGAATGTGATCGCCAGGGGTGAAGGGATGCTCGTCAAACTGCACCCGAGCGTACAACAGAGACCAGCGCGCAAACTCAACGTAGTGGGAGAAGGGGATCGTAACCATCTGCGGTCGCTGCTTCTTCCTCGAGATCTCCTTGAAGTCTCCGCTGACCAGCCGAGCGAACGCCGCCAGCATGTCGGCAGGGCTCTGTCCAATGACTATCAGGCTTCGATTCCCCAGGGGACGGAAACCGTGGGGTCAACCACCCACCCCTTCTAGTAAAACAAGGGGAAAGGTAGGGGTCCGCGTGTTCTGATCGCAACCTTGGTTGACAGTGAGCGGGCCTGCCTCAGACATTTCGACGGGTGCCGTGACCGCGGGCCGTGATTCCAGTAAAGTGAGCCTCTGGTCACTCAGTGACCCGGACCGGCAATCGGGCCCGGGGCCAGATTTGGGTGGGCCCCTTCCCCGCGCAGGCCCGGCCGTTTTTTTCTTGTCAACTGACAATGAAAGCGATAAAATAAAAACATGGGCGACGGCAAGAGGGCAGAAGGCTGCAGAGACTATGAGGAGGAGATGAGGAGGAGAAGTGAGCAAGAGCCAGACAGCTATAGCAGGAGAACGGAAGAGCGCGTGGCAGTGTTATTGAGCTAGGAGTCAGTTCGCAGAGTCTGAGTCCTTAAGGCGATAAGAGCAGATCGGATCAAAAGTAAAACGCGCAGTAGAGTTGAGAACGGAGGATTCAAGAGCAATCATCAAAATACTATGTAAAGCCTCTGACTTGAACTCTCAAAATAAGGTGGTCCGACAAGTTCGATGGTGATCCAGCCGCGTTTTGTGGTGAGCAAGAAGGTAAAGACAAACTTTGAGAAGAGTATAGAGAAGAAACAGGGAAGTATAGTGCCTAACGGAAGTACCTTCGAAGATGACGATGAAGATCCCCACGAACCAGCTGTCCGCCGACGTTCAAGCGTGCTGCAGCAGCTCAAAGAAGGGATCTTTACTAACAATCCTCGTTTCTGGGAGAGTCTGGTATACATAATCTTCCTTATCATCTTCACTTGGGTCTGCATGAATGCGCAAGGGGGCTCCAAATCGTACAGCCTGGCCCAGAGCATCAGGAACGAGTTGTCGTCGTTTGAGTCGATCAGCTCAGCAGGGGATTGGTACGTTTTCATGCAGACCACATTCGTTCCTGCTGTGCTCCCGGTCACGTGGTACAATGGCGACTCGCTAAATTCAGACGAGCTTCGGCAGGTGAACATGAAGTTCATGCTGCTCGGAACGATCTCAGCGCGTCAGGTGCGGGTGAAGCCGAACACTTGCAACATGATGAAGGGCAGCAAGATGGCGAAGTACGCGGACATATGCTACGGACCGTACTCCAGCTCCAATGAGGATCGCGCGCCCTACGGGCCCACGTACGCGACAGACATCAATATGAAGAAATTCAACTACCAGACGGCGCTCGAGCTCGGGTGCAAAGTTGGATGCTCAACGCGGGGGGTGCTGAACGCGTATTCGGGGGGAGGATACAGAGGTGGAGGAGGAGGGTTGGCTGCCTTGTCCGGCTCACTATTTCGCAGAGGACATCCCCTCGGCAAGGAACCTGACGGTCCAAACAGATGCAATTGCGAAGATCTCACAGCTCAAGACTGACCGCTGGATCGACAAGTAGGGCAAGTTGGAGCTCGTTACTTCTGACGTGATGGTAGGCAAACGCGCGCTGTGATTGTTGAGTTTGCGATGTACAACCTGGCGACAGATCTGATGGCAGTAAGCATTATGCTCCTCACACCCTTGTCGGTCTCACCACCTTGACCGCGTTAGGTGGTTCAACTCATCTACGAAGAGGATGAAGCAGGCTCGATATCAGCTTTCATTCAAGTCATCACTCTGAACATCAAGCATCTCTATAGGTGCCTCGCAACTGCACTGTTTATTTTCTCCCTTGACTCAGCTTGACAGCGACCAAGGATCAGCCGTCGACTTGATCGCAGGTTGAACATCATCTCGATAGCGAGCTGGTTCTCTACTCACTCTTGTCTTCTCGATTCGGGGAACAGAGGCCGTGATGCTGTTCATGGTAGTCGGATACCATGTCCTGTCGCTCTGGCACTGGTACAAGCTCGGGTTCACTAAGTACTGGAAGTCCTTGTGGACCGTCATCGACTGGGTCAACTTCGTCTTGTTCTACGTTGCCTTCGGTCTCAGATATGGCGCCTTGCTCAATGCCAAGGTTTGTTCACCTGTCAACATCATTCGACCAGAAACTTTGACTGCTTGTCTCCAGAGTGCCAACTTTCCTCCTGCTGACAACGAGTTTGTCTACTACGCCCCAGCTGCCAACATGGTCAGCATGGTCTGTGCCCATCGCTTGTTGACTCTTTGCTGCTCCTGACGATCGATGGCAGTGGAAATATGTGATGGGGTTCAACGCCATCCTCACGTGGTTCAAGATGTTCAAGGTAAACTCCTCCCCGACCTGGTTACCAGCTACTGATCTAGCTTCAAGTACTTCGGCCACATCCCATTCATGTCTCGGTTGATCAGAATCATGGGAGCTTGCGTGGAGGATGTTGCTGCCTTCATGCTCTGTACTTTTGTCGCGCTCAACGGGTAACAGTCTTGCCCCGTGGTCCCCTTTTCGCCTGCTGCGTCCTCTCCTCCTATACTTCCTCCTGTCTGCTGCTCCTTTCACTCCTCCTGTACTGCCCGTCCTCCGGTGCTCCTTCCTTTTTCTCCTCACGTCTTTCCCCTTCTCTGGTACTCCTTTCCCTCCTCTGGCCCACGGCATCCTGGCTTCATGTCCTCCTCTCAGCCTCTCATGTGCGCGTATAGACGAGAGTTGCATATAACTTGGATCCCTCCAGCTTCGTCTTCACCTTCATGCTGACCTACGGAAATCAAATGAGCTCTTACTCCACGTGGACTACCACTCTCATGACGCTTTACCGGATGTGCCTGGGCGATTGGGATTACGACTCCATCTACAAGTAATTCGCTTCACCGCCTGCCTTTCCGGCGCTTCCCTGCCTGCATTTTCTGCTCTCCGCCCCTCGTTCTCTTGCGCTGATCCAACCTTCAGGTACAACTGGGTCACTGGCAGGATTTACTTCGCGTTGTGGACCATCCTGTCCATCTGCTTCCTCCTCAACATGTTTGTCGCCATCATCATGGAGAGCTATGAGATCGTAAGGGAGCAAGAAGAGAAAGTGACATTGATGTCCTACTTGCGTGACAAGCTATCACACGTCATCGGGACCACTGTCCACCCAATCCAAGTAGATCACCGTGGCGGCGAGGAGGCGTCTGGAAGGGTGCCTGAGACTCTTCGTACGAAATCGTTTGCTGACTTCATGTGCCAGGAGGAAGCGACGCTGGAGGAAGATGACGGGAGAGTTCAGAAAGACGTCTTGAAGTTGCAGACTGACGTCGAGCTTGTGCTGGCGTCGCTTGTTGACTTCCGGAAGGAAATGAGGAGCCTCGGTAAGAAAGTGCATCAGATCACCGAGACAGGCGGAAAGGGGCACTATCCCAGCAATTTCTTAGAGTGAGCTGCAAGGATGGCTGCTTGAAAGGACAGGTGGACTGAGCTCTTGGAAAGAACGCGACCTGAGTAGGGGACAGAGCCTGTGTCCTGGAGGTTCCGTCAGAGAGTTTTTTATCTCCTTCAGCTGCGAGACAGCTGGTTAGAGAGCAACAAAAGCTCCTCTGAGACTCTGCCCTCCGCTGCGAGGGCCAAGGCTGGGTTTTATGGTCAGATACCCTCCAATGTACATTACAAGTAAACTATTTCGCTCACCAGCGCTAGACATGAGATGTAACAACGTCCTTTTGCGATCTTCAGTCAACGATTTCCAGTCTGCGATGTAAGAGGACGGGCTTGTTTTCCAACTCTCCTCTTCCCCTCTGAGAACCCTCGAGATCAGTCCCGCCAGGACGCCTCCGCTGCTGCTCGATTGTACAACCAGGTCTAGAGCACCAGCGTAGCACTGGAGAGCAGCGAGCTTCAAACCTGACAAGTGGATCAAAGGGAGTCGGAATCGGAAAGCAAGTCGATACCCTGAGAAGCAAGTCCGTTGGCCACTAGCAGGTACGCTTCCTGCATTGAACTCAGCCAGGTGAGTTAGAAGATCGGAGTGGTGACCAGTCTCTTCCAAGGTCCGCGAATGTGCGTTTTTCCTGAGCAAAGGTAGTTTGCCCTGAACTCATCATCATTGGGATCATCTTTAGACGACTTGGATGCGGATAGAGCCGATGGAACGGTGGAGATGTTGAACAGATCGCAAGTCGAGGCATCCAGATGCCATCCGTGCAGGTCGTTGGTAGTTATCGGAGTTTGCACTGGAAAAAGAAACCTCAGGGCGTGTGTGTAGGAGCTCTCAGTACCGGCCAGCATCCTTGAAGCTGCCGCTTGGAATCTCATCCAGTTTTCAGACGAACAATTTGCTGTGTCAAAGTCAAGAGAGATCAGGTCAACACGAGGAAAATACCCGAAGCTCGATTTCGTTGGTGCTCTTGATGGAAGATGGCCATTGGTGGTTTGAGATAAACTTGTCTCAATCCTGTTTCAAGAGTTTATGAAATGTTTAGCGGACATGTTTTATCCGAGATATCTGTCCGTGATCAAGGCGCAACAAAGTTGGGGTGTACCTTTTGCAGCAGCGGCAGCAACCAAGTAGGAATCTGTGCTAATCCTTTCAAACAGAAAGCCCAACATGCTCAATGCAAAGCTGATGACCTGTGTGATTATCGCAGTAGGACGAACAATATGAATCCCTTTGAAACCCTCTGGGGCACCACATCAGCGTCGAAAACGAGACAGGAAGGAACCGACCTCAGATCTTGCCAGTGCTTCGAATGCATCAACATGAAATCCCCTGATGCAGTGTGGTGCAGCTCTCCGAGACTTGTGAAAGGGTATCACTACACATCATCCGCTTGATACGACAAATAAAGACTTTTTGATGTGCTTTCCGTGAAATTCTGTCGTTAAGCCCCTTCTTTCGTACTCCTTCAATGCTTCTCTACTTTCAATCTATGCACATGTAAAGAGTAATTGGACAATACATTGTTGTCAAGATCGACCTGTGGTGTTGGTGAGTCTGGAGCAGGAAACCATTCCAATCCCCAAGATCGCAGCAAACGGACTGTCGTTCCAACCCGAGACTGTCAAGAAGGTAAAACATAACTCTATGTTCCCACCTGAATGGTCTTGACAATGTTTGGCTGCCTGCGATGTTGAAATAAGAATACATGACTCTTGTAAACAAAATCGACCTGGACGGCGGTCATGCTCTCTGGAATCAACTCAATGCAATCATAACGGTCCACACGGTAATAGCAATCATCTTTCAGGGTCTATTCACGACTCGAGTGAGGAAGGACAGCTAACGTGTCGAAATATCTATCTTCACCTTCTCACTCAAAAACTTGACGAGGCGTGGAGAGAGGATCACATCGCAGTTCATGCACAGGATGAAAGACCCCTCGGCCTGGGATATCCCAAGGTTCTTGGCTTCGTATTCCCATCCCCTGGGGAGATCGAGTCAGAGATGGGAGGGGACGGCGGATGAATCCATTTCACCTGCAGTTTACCTCCTTGTGGACATGTTGAGGAACTGTGATGATGTGCAACCGTGGTATGTTCTTGGGCCAGACAAGCGCCTTCATCAGCAGGTCAGGCATAACTCGGGGCCAGGTCCTCTGACCTCTCGGAGAAGTGGACGAGATCCTGGCGGATCCCATTCAACTACGATGATCTCGTAGTCTAGACGGTAAAGAGACGCAGACTCGGACAAGCTTGCGATGGTTCTGTTGAAACGATGAAGGAGGTTCTCCCCGTAGTTATCGTTGCGCATCACCATCACCACGCTCAGATACACCGACTTGCTCGCTCCCATGACTGCCGTCATGGCGGCCATAAAGGTGAGGAGTGCGACGATTTCCAGGTATCTCATCCTTCAGACGAGGAGACTTCCCTCCGAGCTTGACTTCATTCTCTCCTCTCTCCTCTCACTTCACCCGCTCTCCGTTCTGCCCCTTGACCCCACAAACTTGAATGCGGCATCGCGTAGCGATTGTTTGCAGATTGTTTGGGTGAGCATGCGAATGAGGGGGATGATTTATAGACTGTTGATCCCACTGTCACCGTCCGATCAATCAGTGATGCGGCCCGGGCCAGTGCCGATGACTCAGGCCGCCGCCGGCCCGGGGGCCCCGGTCGGATCCGGCCAGGCAGTGCTGAGAGCCTGCCGGGTCTCTCAGTCCTGTCCGATCACGTATCAAGCTTGACGATGGTTGTGATCGTCTTCGACGGAGATAGATCAAAAATCTACTAACGGAGGGAGGGATTACAAATGATTAACTTCAACGAAGTACACATCATTTCAGGAACTAAAGGATATTTGCAAACCAAAGGATTCGTCGAGAGTGTGTTTAATCTGTATTATCATACTCTCTGATCTCTGACAGTGTATTCAAGAAAAAAAAAATCTTCACACTTCACCAAAGAGATCGACTCCACCGGATAGACACTCAACACTGACAAGGTAGCCTGAAAGAAAGCTCTAGAGCGACCCTCCTTCTGTTGCAAAACGAAGGCAGTGATATCCAGCATCCATTTGCTCTCTAGATACCTATCGCCTTGTCGTTTTCCTCCTTGATTCTCGAACCTGCTTGAGATAGTTCGCTCTCTGGGGATTCGACCAAAGAGGAAGCCCCAGCTCTCTCATCTTCTGTCTGTGAATGGTCTTCAACTTCTTGGCTTTCGCAGGCTTCATCAGATGCAGCTTTGCTGGAACATAATCTTTCGACCTGCGCTTTGCAATCTTGCCCTCCTGGGTCTCCTTCTCCCGCACCACTGAAAAGTAATCGTTGTAGTACTTGATGCGAGCCTTGTTGATGGAATCATAACCCGAGGGCAGAGTGGTCAGGCAGCCCAGGTTGTGAGATTTCCCCGTTACACGCTGCGACTTGCGGATGGCACCTACCAGTCCCCTCCCACCTCCTCTCAACCGAAGCAGGGTCCCCCCCTCACAATGGAGCGAAAGGTCGACGAAGAGAATGAGGCCCAGCCAAACGCAACGGGTGGATAAGAACTGTTTCATCTTGTTGTTTGAGTTGACGATGATAACCTCAAGGGCTCCTGTTTGACTCCCTGCCGTAAAGCTTGTTTGGCTGCGGTCGCTGCACTACCCCTATCCACCAATCTCTGTTGCCTCCTGTCCTATGATCTCCTTTCAATTTCAGATTTCATGAATTTCAATCGATCTCTTGGCTCTCAAACTGCTCCTGCAATCTAGTCGCCTTCCACCGTCGAGGGCGCTTCAGGAACTACCTCCTTGCATTTGGCTGCATTGCGCCCGCTCCTGCGAAACCAATTTCATGTAGTCTCCTGAACCTTTTGATGATGTTTTGAAATATAGGAGTATATTTTAGTTCTCAAAAATTGACATAACAAAGGTTACAGAAGTTTCAAAATTACACATATAATTTGGAATTTTGGGTGATATTTCAAATTATGACAAGGTTTGGTTTACCACCCCCGATGCACCCCTTGCTGTTGCAGCGCGAGGCCATGGCAAACGGCCGTTGAACAATACTGAAAAAAAATGGATTAATTGATCTTTACCCCCAAATTCAACGTCTTAGTGGGTGTCCTTCAAAATTTTCGAGGTAATATCTTTGTTTTGTTAGTTGGCAGGTTTGTGGCTTAGAGCGTAATACGAGTAGGTAGGGGTACTCAAAATACCCAATAGGCCCAATAAAAAGGTATAGAAGAACGGGGTACTAAGTAAAAATGGGGGGGTACCTGATTAGGGGTAGGGGACCTGACCTTGCCCAAACCCTGACCCCTGACCCTGTTTACACCCTACCCTACACTGATATTCCACCGCTAGATCAACCCTACCTGGTTATTCGACAAGCATCGGATGACCCCATCATATCACTCAAAGAATCTGGGAATTTGGGGGGTAATATCTCACTCCCAATCCCGTAGATCAACATTACCCCTCATTTTATTCACCCCCACCCACTCATTTCACACCCACCCACACATGTTGATTACACCCCCACCCCCCTATAAAGAACTTTGTTCATTCCAGAAAGCTTGAACGAAATGCTCGCAGAAATCCTGGCTCGATTGTCGTCCCCTCCTCCTTCTCCTCCCCTTGCCATCCTCCTACCCTCAGTGGGCATCTCAAAATGTCGAAAGTGCTGACTGAAATCTCTTCCTCTTGTCTCTCATCGTCTCTCGCTCTCTTCCAGATTCCATGATCCGAAGACAAGTTCTAGTTTGTGTTTTTTCCTTGCAGCCAGTTTATTGGTTTCTGGCTGTGCTAACAGATTGATCTATATCCTTTTCCAATAATTGTATGAATTTAGAAGGTGAGGTGCGGGAGAGAAAGGTAGGGAGGAAGGGAGGGAAGGAAGCAAGGAAGGAGAGTATTTCGCAGGGTCGTGCAGCTGATGTGCTCACTCAACACTTGTCTGCAGGGACAAGATGACGCGCTCCTGGGTTGAGATACCAGAGAATTCTGACTTCACACTTGACAATCTGCCATATGGAGTCTTCTCAACGAGCTCAAGGCCACCAAGGTGCGGGGTTGCCATAGGAAATTTAGTCCTGGACTTGTCAGTTGTCACTTGCCTGCTCCGGGGCATTGGAGGCTTGGACCCATCGTGCTTCTCAAAGCCAGCCTTGAATGAATTCATGGCATGTCCTTCATCTGTTTGGAAAGCTACAAGAGAAAGACTCATGGACCTTCTCAGAGAAGGAGGAAGCAGGGAATTAAGAGACGATCCTGTAATGGCATCCAAGGCATTCGTCAAGTTAGATACAGTGAAGATGCATCTTCCGGCTGTCATACCAGACTACACAGACTTTTACTCTTCCAGAGACCATGCGTTCAATTGCGGGTGCATGTTTCGTGATCCAGCGAATGCCTTGCAGCCCAACTGGCTACACCTTCCTGTTGGATACCATGGCCGCGCATCTACCGTATTCGTCAGCGGGACCGAGATCGTTCGCCCACGAGGTCAGTTGCAGAAGGATAAAGGAGACCCAAAGAAAGGAAGCGAGTACGGTCCATGCAAGAACCTGGACTTTGAAATGGAGATTGCGTTCTTTGTAGGGGGGGAGCCCCTGAGGTTGGGTGAGACCATAACCATGGACAACGTTGAAGATCGAATCTTCGGCCTTGTCCTCATGAACGACTGGTCTGCCAGGGACATCCAGTCGTGGGAGTATGTCCCACTTGGGCCCTTTGGATCCAAGAACTTTGCCACCTCCATATCTCCTTGGATCGTTCCATATGAGGCCTTGAAACCATTCACCTGCGAGACCATCTCCAGGGTTCAACAGGACCCCGAGCCGCTCGACTACTTGAAAGATCCCAATTACTCCTCCTTCGACATTGACCTCACGGTCAGCATCCAGGGTCAGGATATGCCTCAAGCAGAGCAGGTCTGCCGCACCAACATGCGCAACCTTTACTGGAACATCAAGCAACAACTGGTGCATCACACAGTGACAGGATGTCGGATGAGGCCAGGAGATCTTCTCGGTACCGGCACAATCAGTGGGGGCGAACAAGACTCTCTTGGGAGTCTGTTGGAGATGAGCTGGAGAGGTACTCGTGATGTTCCGCTTGGTAGCTCTGGAGAAAACAGAAAATTTCTCAAGGATTTTGACAAAGTGATTATGAGAGGAAAATGTCAAAATAAGGTCCAAGACAGCAATGGGAACGAGAGAATACTGTCACTTGGCTTTGGAGAGTGCAATGGTAAAATTGTTGTCTCATTTTTCAAAACTTACTCGAGTTTCAATTGCTGCAGGCAAGATCTTCCCTGCTGGCTCCATTATTGAAAGTAATCCAGCGCACGTCCACCTGGAACAAGAGGTACTTGCAGCTCACGGAGTGTCACAAGTTGCGTCTATGGGGGCAAGACGATTTCACACTTGGAAGCTTTACGGTCATCAGATTTTATTATACCCACTAATCGATTGAAGATTTCTGTTAGGCTACTGGCGGTCATCGTGCACTTGGCGAGTGAGAATCGCGTTGGCCGCAAAAGGCATTAAGTATGAGGTTCGGAAAATTGTTAAAGCTACCTTAAAATGTCCAAACTGACAACTGTGATAAAACAGTACGTTCCCATTGACATCTCAAAAGGGGACCAGCATGACAGTGAGCATGAAAATCGCAACCGAATGAGACAGGTGGAAATTTGGTTCAGTCTTTCCCTGCCGATGATGGTGGGCTCAGGTTCCGACTTTGGAGGTGTATGATGAAGAAGCAAAGACAAAGGAATTCTCTGTATTGGATGTGGTAGACCAAGTGACGTCATGACAGAGGCTGCTGAGTCAGAGCTTAGCAATCATCGAATTTCTGGAAGAGACTTTTCCCAATTCTGGTGCCGGATATGTAACTCTTTTTCATGTGTTGATGTTGATTTAGGTTGCTCCATGTTGCCAAAAGATCCTATTGAAAGGATGCGAGTGAGACAGGTACAGTGATCTTACCAGCGTCTTGTGGGGACTCTCTGAATGCGAAGTGGAGGATTTCCAAGTTTACAGCTGCTGCAGATATCGGAGATAATCAACAGTGGAATACAACCCTTGCAGAATCTCAGCGTCCTCAAAGCTATTTCAAGGTAGTCAGACTGAATCTCAGGCCATCCTCCTCTCTGATGATCTTTGCAGCAACGGGCAGATGGATTCGAAGGTATGTGACTGTGTGTTGATGAAGTCGAGGATGATCAAGATTTGGTCCGTGAACTTGAGACAACAGGATTGGGCACACAAGGCTATCTCAAAGGGCTTGGAAGCTGTGGAGGTTTTCGGACCATGAGCTTCAACTTCTGTCCTCACGTGTATCCTTTCGTTCAGGTCCTTGCCCTGCAGATCCTGGAGGAGCTAAAGGAGGATCGAGGAAACGACAGCGTGTACCTTGCTGGAACCCGCGAACCAACCATGGCTGATGCCTGTCTGATACCTCAGCTCTACAATGCCCGAAGGTCTGGAATGTGCGATGAGGTGTTTGCGGGTCAATGTTACAGTCACTTCCTCAGGTATGACGTCGACCTTGCCACGACCTGCCCGCATCTCTTGGAGGTGAGAGACGGTGAAAGAGGAAGAAGAGTGTCGGCGGATGACGGTGAAGATTCTGTCACGTGACAACATGATGATTTGCAGGTTGAGAAGCGTTGCAACAAGTTGGAGTGGATTGCGTCGTGTCATGCAAACCTACAGAGTGATGCTCAGGTGTAACGTCGGCTAAGGTAGTGTTTAAATGGCATTCAACGCTCTGGCCCCTGCGCTACAAGCCTTGGCTGCCTAGTCCTCCACTTGTTTCTAGCTCCTTCGTGACATCGGACAATTACCATCCTTTTCTAAATTGGCAGAACTTGCAGCATACCTACGATTTAATCATTCAGCACCTCGCTCAAACAGTACTTGGTTAAAGCTTCTGAGTCAGGCTCAGCGGCCTCCTGGTTGAGCTTCTCGGTGTTCTCTTCCTCATTCTCTTGAATCTCGTAGCTTCCATCTGGACTTTGCTTCTTCACGCAATGGGGTACTGCCCATGACTCGAAACCGATCGAGGCCGAGCAAGCACTGTTCCCTTCAACCATTTTCGTCTCCTCCAGCTTCTTCTTCCTCCCCCCATTTATCCACACCCAAACAAAACATCCGACGACCAGACCCAACAAAGTGACGCCCCCGAGGCAGCTCGCAAGAATGATCTCCGAACGGGTGATGCCGCCAAGTGACTTCACCACGGTGGTGGAGGGGGACGTGACTTTCTTGACCCCTTGACTGGCAGGAAGCCCGTCCTTCACAAGCTCAGCATTGAGACCATCAGAACTGATGCTGTAGCTGTCTGCTGACTGCGTACCGTCGAGCTTCACCTCGGTCACAACCTCTACCCCGCTGGCTAGCAGTCGTCGGTGTATTGCAGATCGTCTGAGGGAGATTTCCCTCACCTCTACGATCCTCACCCTGTTAAGAGAAACCTTTGCTGCACGCGCGAAGCTTGCAAGGTACTTCACTCGGATGTTTTCAAACTCAGCGCGGGTCATCGAGAAAGTGACGAGAAAGTTGACGGTGGCCTCGATGGCGCTGTTACCAACTGGAGTCGTTTCAGGGGTACTGGCTGGATTGGTTGATTCCATGGATGATACAACACTCGTAATGTTGTCGTATGTCCTGGTTGATTCTTGAAGACTGTTTTCACCTGTGATGTTGGTCAAGTTTTGTGCGCTTGTTGTCTCTGGAAGCACTGTGGTCCCTGGAAGCATAGTAGCATTGGTGTCTGTGATGATTATAGTTGTGCTTGTTTGTTGATGAACTTCAGGAGAAGTTGTCGTAGACACGTTGCATGTCAGCCCTGCCCATCCTTCAAAGCAGACACATCGTCCTTGCCCATCGCATCGTCCCTTGCTGTTGCAAATCTTGCTGCTACATGGGACGTCCAGGGTACTGCCGAACATGTTGCATCGAGCGCAGGCCGCACTACAGTTGCTGATCCCATCCTGAGCAGCCAGAAGCTTCCTCTCAGCAGAGGGGATCAGGAAGGTCCCACCTGAGGCGTCTGCTCCTCCTGCATTGCCAGCCAGCGCCAGGGCTGCCGCCATGACGGCCCAGACGAGCGCCATGGGAACGCGAGGACTCAGTGATCACGTCAAGTTTGACTCATCGGACCCTCGGAACCAGTTCCGGGGTCAGCTGGTGGCCTGGCGTTGCCTTTCGCCCAAACAACGACCCGGGTCAGTGTTCAACGGAAGTTTGGCACTGAGCGAGTCACTTTTACAGTGCCCGGCCCCGAGTCACCGGGCCCGGGCCTGTAGATCCCCGGTTGAATCGGAAGCTCTTTTCTCTTCACTGAGTCAAGTTTCCACTAACCCGTCTGTGAGATCAAGGTTCCGGACTACCGGGCCCGGAAGTTCGGAGCTCAGCGGCCGGCGCCGGGTTGGGGGCCCGGGGCCCACTGAGTGCGCCCAGTCAACTATCAGCCTCAACGGCTAAGACTCCGAGTGCGACAATCACCCCCGTGGCCATGACCCCCACCCATTCAAAGAAATTTACACCCCTCCTTTGACCAGATTTTATACCCGTATTTACCAAGTGCATTGACACCCCCTACCTATCCAATAACTCTACATACCCACCCTTTTCCACAGAGTAGACCAGTTGATGGCTGCGACTGAGTGATAGAGCAAGGGAGGAGAGGAGTGGAGAGGAGAGGAGGAGAGGATTCGATATAGAGGCCATGGCGAGGAGGCCCAGGCAGGATGAAGGATGGCGATCAGTCAGACTGACAGTATGATATCAGGATGGAGAACGAAGCAGCGATCAGTGACATAGTCGAGTACAAGTTTGCGACTCCACAGGAAAGATGCGGGAAGACGCCACCCAAACATCACTGGTTTCAGGTTTGACACCTTAGAAGTGCATGCAGGAGGAAGACTGATGCGGCGATTGCAGACCATGATGGGAGATAAGACGGAGGTGGAGATGGCACTGCAAGGAGGGGAGAGCAAGAGGCAAGCTCTGAGTGAGGAAGAGCTGAAGCGCGTCCGACGAGAGAGGCGAGAGAAGTCGAGGTCTTTCATCAAGATGAACAAGTCCATGCGAGCAGGTGGAGTAGTTGGAGGAGAAAGGAGAGGCAGGGAGGAAAGGGAAGGAGGGACGGACGGACGGACGGACGGACGGCGGCTGCGACGAGGCTCTGACGTGCTTGAGCAGCGTCGTCGACACCAACTTCAGGAATCAGTGGCAGCAAGGATGCAATGTTCTCACATGACAGTGAGGTCAAGCTGCAAGACAAAGAGATCAGCGAGCTGTGCAAGGGAGTTGTAGACGAGTCTGAGATATCGAGAGTGAAGGAATGGCTGGAGAAGGTAAGGACATGAATGAGGTAATCCTCTCCTCCCTCCCTCTGACCTCTTGGCTTTCCGTGATCTCCCAGGCTGGTCCGAAGCACCGGGCGAATTTCAAAAGGATCTTTGGATCCATCAAGGAAAGGAGGAGGAGGAGGAGGAGGAGGAGGAGGAGGAGGAGGAGGAGGAGGAAGAGGACGAGGACGAGGACGAGGAGGAGAAGGAGGACGAGGAGGACGAGGAGTCTGCTGACGCAGCGTGACAGGAGCATTTTGTTGATCGCACTTCTCCTCATTCTTCTTTTCTCTCCTCGATGAGCTCCAAAAGCAGCACTTCTATTCTACAAAAGACAAAAGATGGAAGGGAAGGAGCAATCAACGAATATCTGAAGAAGATTGCAAAACAGAAGCGAATGTGAGATCAAGAAAGAGCTTCACTCCGTTGTGGTGGTGGTGATAATGATGGAGATTGAGATGATGATGATGATGATGATGGAGGTGATGGGGATGATGATGGGGATGATGATGATGATGATGGAGATGATGAATATACTGATCAACGAACAGATTGCACGAGTTGTTTCAAAGGTGCGACCCGAAGACTTCGTCGCAGTTTACAAGCTTGATCGATCGAGAACTCCTTGTCCAGGTGAGGTCATGAGAGCGAGGAGAGGAGAGGAGAGGAGAGGAGAGGAGAGGAGAGGAGAGGAGAGGAGAGGAGAGGAGAGGAGAGGAGAGGAGAGCTAAGCTGTGGACAGGAGAGAAAAGGAGAGAGGGCAGGAGAGGCAGGGAGATTGTGTGTCATGGTGACCAGACAAAGCGAGGAGGAAAGGGATGGAGGTCAGAAGGGAGCAGGAGCAGAAGTGAGGAGGGGAGGGGAGAGGAGGGCACGAGGTTGTGGAAGGAGTGAGATTGTAATTTTCTTGCAGGAGATTGAAAACTCAGATGTCCATCTGCCTCTTATAAGCAGACAGAAACTCCTTGACATAGTTGCTCAATGCAGGACTTACAACACAGTACAGGTGAATTTCAAATAGTTCCTCCCCTCTCACCTATCCTCCCTACTTCTCTTTCCTCTCCTCCCCTCTCCTTCCCTCCCCTGCTTTCCCCTGCTTTCCCCTCCTCCCTTTTCCTCTCCGCTCTCCTCGCTCCTCTCCTCTCCTCCATCTCTCTCATCGCGACTGATCAACCCTCTGCTTCAGTGCATAGAAGTCAACAGGAACTACATCTCATGGGCTGAAATCTTGCGCTCCGTTCACTCTGCCTCCTTCGAAGAGCTGAAACACAACAAAGCGCAAGTCCTGGTCAGCTACCCCCTTCCTCTTCCTCCTCTCCCTTGCTCTTCCTTCTTCCCTTCTCCTCCTTCTCTCAGTTGCTCGCCCTCCTTGTCCTCCTTCCCCTTTCCTCCTCCCTCCCTCCCTCACCAAAGTCGACGTCCTCCCTTCGTCTCCTCCTCCTCCTGACGTTTCTCTCTTGCAGAAGATCTGGTCCGACAGTGCCTCCAGTACCCCACAGCGACCTGCCTCCGTCCTCTCCTCCTCTTCCTCCCCAGACCGCAAGGCGGCAAGAAGTCTCGTACGCTTCCACTCTAGTGTGGGCAAGAAGTTCGTCTCCTCTCCTGCCCGTCGCCCTCACCTCCTCCTCTCCGCCGACCTCCTTCGGCGCTGGAGTCCCGTCGAGCTTCAGAAGGCATGGCAGCGGCTGCGGGTACGAGCAGCAGGCCCAGCAGGCTTCTTGCTCAGAGAGAGGATGGGAGAGTTTGGCAGGGAAGAAGAGGAGGACGATGAAGACGAGGAGGAGAGGAAGGATCGAAGGGGAAGGGGAGCAGAAGCCCAGGCGAAGAAGCTGCTGGGGTTCATGGAGGAGAGCAGGATGCTGGAGGAGGAGGAGGGAGCGGAGGTGAGAACCTCTTCCTCCCCTCCCCTCCCCTTCCCTTCCCTTCCCTTCCCTTCCCTCCCCTTCCCTTCCCTTCCCTTCCCTTCCCTTCCCTTCCCTCCCCTTCCCTCCCCTTCCCTCCCCTTCCCTCCCCTTCTTTCCCTTCCTGCTCTCTTCTTCATGCTTCCTCTCCTCTCTCCTCCTTTCGGCTCCTTTCCTTTCCTCTCTCCTTCCCTGCCTTGCTGCACAACTGCCCTCCCCGTTCCTCCTCTGGTTCTCCTCTCTGTCGCTCCTCACTCCCGTCACAGGCGGCAGCTCTTGTCAAGCTTCTCGAGGGCGCCATGCAGCAAGAGCGGGAGGAGGAGCGGGAGGTCGCCCAACGACCTTCCTCCAGCTGCTCCCAGCTCAGGCCCAGCACGTCCCTCACCTCCTCCTCCTCCCTGCGCTCTGTTTCACGGATGGGAAGCTCAATGAGCATAGCTGGAGTATGGAAGGAGGAGGAGGAGGAGTGGAAGCGAGCGGTGCTGCTCCTCTCCTCCTCCGATCCTCGTCTCGACTCCCTCCCCTTCGCCATCGCATTCAGCAGGAGGCACAAGTGACCCCCCCTCCCTCTCCTCGTCCTCCTCCCTTGTGTAAGCAGAAATTTCAATAATGAACATCTAGAGCTCCAGCACAACGCTCCCTCGTCCTCGTCCTCGTCCTCGTCCTCTGTTCTACCTCTTGCTGCTCGACCTCGCGCTGTTGGGCGCCACCTTTTGCGGCTGTCTGGACTTTCTCTTGTTGATACCCCGCATGGTCTTGGCCTTCAGCTCGTCGCGGCTGAGGGGTCTTTCCTCCTCCTCGTCGCTCTCCTCCGCGCTGTCGTCCTCGTCTCCGATGAGAGGAGGCTCGACGTGGATCACGACGCTGGGGGACTGGTCAGCAGGAGCAGATGGAGAGCGAAAGGTAGATCATTGGAGAGGAGGAGGAAAGGAGGAAATGGAAGGGGAGGAGGAGGAGGAGGAGGAAAAGGAGGAGGAGGACGAGATGGAGGAGATGGAAGGGGAGGAGGAGGAGGAGGAGGAGCAGTCAGATTGTCTTGCACCTTCCCGCTGGAGCAGCTGGTCCTTGCCCGATCACGCTCAGATTTGCTCCATCGGCAAGTAGCGAAGCTTGCATGTTCTGACCAGAAAGTCAAAGTAGGAGGGGGAGGGGGAGGGGGAGAAGGATGAGAAAGGGACTTACGCTAGTATCGTTG